CCGTCCTTGCACGTTGCTCCGCCATCGTCACGGCATTTACCCATCGTGTGGCATGCTCAGTCATCACCAGCAGGTACTGGTTACCACTTGTCGTCTGCGGGAACGATCCCATAACATCTACTGATCACAAATCACTGACTGCTGTTACTGGAATTGACTGCAATGGCGGTCGTATGCATCGATCCCCTTTCATTAGTTGACATCACTGACACATATCGTGCAATATTGTCCGTCATACCTGGCCAGTACGCACTTTGTCGCAGCAAATCAGTTGTCCGTGCAATACCTGTGTGCGCTACCTGGTGACATTCACGAATCATCTCCTGGCGCAGATCTTTTGGGATTATTGCTACCCAATTCTCGTCATCATCCCGCCAGGTCAAGGCTCCGTATCCGTTCACTCTCAGTCTCTCCTGCCTTAGCAACACTGTTGATTCTTTGTCTGTTCCACTCTTGTCGACATCTTCTCCCGCTTTTATCACTCTGATTACCTCTCGAAGTTTAGGGTCGGCTTTCTGATGTCGGACGAGTTGTAGGGGATCTCCCTCTAGGCCGTTAACTGCACACACTATCTCTGTAATTTCGGCTTCGGTGTCCGGTCTTGACAAATAATCTGCCATTACATTTTCCTCCCCTGGCACATGCCCGATGCCAGAATCATACTCCTGCAGACGTAGCATCCATCGAGCCAACTTCCTTCGGGGGTCTTTTGCTGTTTTCAACCATTGTAGAGGCTTATGATCCGTCTCGATGTGAAATCGCCGACCCAGTAGATACGGTCTCCATTTGTCTACCGCCCACACAATCGCTAAACACTCTTTTTCTACTGTGGAATACTTCTGTTCCGTCGGTGTAAGGATACGGCTGGCATACTCCACCACTCTGTCAGACTGCCTCAAGACCGCATCTATACCGTGATCGCTCGCATCAGTGGTCATTGTAAATGGCTCCTCGGGTTCCGGCAGTCTCAGCATCATTTGGCGGTCATCTAACAGCTCTTTGATTCGGTCGAAAGTTTGATGAGCAGTCTCTGTCCACGTAAACTTCGCATTGCTCAGCACTTTATATAGAGGTGCTGCTATATCGACTACTGTCTACAAACTAGGACCTTTATTGCTAATCCAAACCAACCTGTTACGCATGCACGTAAACACGCCAACTTGATATGAGAAGACTGAGGCAGGCTCGATAGATTGTATTTAGCAAATTTACACTCTTTGTCAATTAATAACGAAAACATTACATTGAACACTCTATTTGCACACCATCTTTGAGTCCTGAATTCCAACGCTCCAGTCTTCTTCCATTCCTGCTGTTGCTTCCTTTACTTCCTGTTGGTACTCCATTTACTTCTTGCTTTTGCTCCATTTGCTTTCCGTTTTCCTCTAGTGACTGTGAGAGTTCTTCTTTCACGTCCCTTCTTATACTACTTATATCGTTCGTATAAGTAGCACACACCACAGATATACCTGAACAGTTACGAGTTTAACTTAGTCGAAATACGAGAGCGAGGATCCGCCGACACGACTTGCTACTTTAATCCGACTAAGCCAACCCCCACTGAATAAAAAAGAATACTTGATATGAAGTAGAACATGTATTATACAAGCTTACAGAAAGTACGAAGTTCGATTTCAGAAGAGAATGAAGATCCCAGACTAAGTATTCGGGTTCTAGTCATAAAATGTTACAGATAATGCGTATTTATGCATTCAGATCGAATAGGAAACAGCATTGAAGTCTGTGGCATGTACAGTTATGACGACCAATAATAAACAACATTGGAGCACGTGACATTGACATCTAGGACGACCATAAAATTGACCAATAATTCTCCTAAGGTATCGGATGAATATGCTAACATAACCATTGGTGCGACTTCGGAGTGTTGCTAAACGTGGGTGAAGGTTTCTAGTCGTTCGTCAGTAAATCAGGCGACCCAGATGTGATTGTAAAATCGAAAAGTCAAAAGAAGTGGTGGAGTTTCGGTGGGTATCGAAGAGAAGGAATCAATACGAAGCAACAATATTGACTACGGATTAAAAACTGCGTCCACATATACACAAGTGCTGAATAACAACAGTTTCTGGCGACTCTCGTCATTGTAATTCAAATTGCCTGTGATCGCAATCCACATGTACTTATTTATGGTAATAGAGAATAGATCCTAGTATGATGTTTGCTTGTGTTATCTGAAAAAGGGTGCATGCGACTTTATCGTCTGTTCAGTGCTCAGCATCATCCAGTTTCTAGTGGCCAAACAGAAAATACAGCGGAGAATTCAAGACTTAACATTGGATTGATATCAGCCACATTTCATGAATTAGAGCTAAAAGTGAATACAAACCTTATGATATGTAACATTAGTATATCTACTACATAAGTGATGGAGGTAATACTAATTATTTTGACTGTAAAGTACTTGAAATGTACAGTAATTAAATATTTCCGTGGATATGTTCTTTTAGACCCTATAGGAAATTCGCTCGAAAGTACAGGTTCGGATGCTGGATATTAACGATCTGAATGTGACAATCGTTATACTGATCATCTTCATGTAATCGGCCCGGTATTATATTATAGAGGTCTAGTCAGGAAAGACTGAGAAATATACAGTAGCACAATCGCTGAAGCGGAAATTGACGTACACAAAACAGAGATAGTATGAAGATAGTAATACTGACACAAGATACTTGTAGCATTCATTTATAAAGGTAGGTACTAAAACTCCTCAAGCCACATTCAGATTTCTCCAGATGCATTCCGTCACGGATCCACTGACTGACTCATTGATGCTAATTAGACGCGCAGAATTTACAGCAATAGACCGGCGTACTTTCCCTGTGTTAAGCGAACTATCGTAGCTCCCAGTTGAACGAAAGTGGGCCCACACTGTTGAACATCTGTTACAAGATCGCTTCATTGCTATCATAGCGACTTGGTTTTCTACCCCCCCCCCAAATAGCTTCAGGTGGATCCAATTAACTAAGCACATAGTCGAGAACTGTCCTCCATCTAGATTATAGGATCTCTCTCTCCTCATATAATGTGCTATGATCGGAGTCTTTACATTCATTTTCATATATAACCTAATTGAACTATAGCGTCACTATTCAGACGAATAATCCAGAAGTTGACCTGATTGCAGCAACTCATCCATGAGAGACAAATCGAAGGACCCGGTTACTGTATGTGTCAACCTCCGAACAATTGTTGAACTCCCTAGGACTAATTAAGCTGGTGCTAAAAGAATTTCAGTGTCTATGTTCTGAATAAGATGTAATTGTTCCCTAAGGAGACAATAAACAGTAGCAACGTAGACAATGTATCGCTTGTCAATGCAGACATTTTGCGGGAGTAATAGATACTTAGCGATGATTCATAATTAAGATGGGTTTCGCAGTCAAACACTAACCGTTCGATCATCAATTATCTAATAAGATCACTCACAGGATCATTATAAACCGGCAAGCAATAAAATAAGTTGCACGACGTGTCACTTCACGACAGAACTTATGCGACGACTAACAATTTTTCAGCAGACTCACTGGCTAACGTCCAAGCTCTAAGAGCAAGGTTACGGTGACTGATAAGATAAACCTAGTCGGATGGTTCAACCAGTAATCAGCCATAGAAACAACAGCAGTGATCCCTATATGTTCTCACAAGTATTTATATCAGATATAGTAAACAAAAATGAATCGACTCTGAACAATCCTGGGTGAAACTAGTTTTCCAGGTCAGTTCATTATAAGTGATCATGATATCTTACTAAGTCAACTACGTATGAACAGTCAGATATATTTCCAGATAAGTATAAAGATAGATTTTATGAGACTTCTATGGATGAACAGAAAAAGTACTACTACCTTTAATGGCCTAGTTCATAAATAATTGGTTTGGACTCATTACTATGATATGACTACTTACTATTACTTTCTAATCTAAAACGGAGCTAAACACTAGATCCGTGTGCTTCAAATTATGCAACAGTAGCAAAAATTTAAAATTTAGTGAGATGCTATGAAGCATCATAGTGTGTACTACCTACGGTGGAGCTTATAGGTAGTATACGGCAGTGCCACCCTGAAGCGAAATGTCGGATCCGGACGTTTTGAGGAATGGAAGACGCTTGTTTTGCAAATGGATATTTCATGACAAGACGTACACTTTTGGCCAGAAGATTGGATCTACTCCAAATAAATTGCTTATTCCGTCTGGGATCCAGTCTTCTTTTATTACAGTGTCATCCCGATGAACACTGAAAACACCTCATTAATTTGGCTTTTTAAGGTTTTTATTTGCCCTTTTGATAGACTATTACGAATTCAGCTAGTAGCAACTCAAATAGGGATTAAAAGGTTGACAAAATGTGAAAACTGACTCAAGTTTCTCGATTATTAAAAGAGGATATTAACGACCTGTATCACTGGCAAATATGGGAGATATAACTTAATAACTCATGAAATAGAAACTAACTTAACGAACACCAAATACACACTAACTGGCTTTTGAATTATACATGACATCGTAGTAATATTAGTAAGCTAGCTGACAACATAAAGAACCAAAGAAATATCACTACAACAGGATTCAGATCTATTGTAGATTATTTAATGTCTAAGTAAGCGCTTACAGACTAATTCGTTCCAAAGTTATGGATCCATTTCCATCTTTTTGTGTACAAACAGTAAGCGAAGCAAAAAATAATATAGTGTACAACATGGAAGTACCATCGTAGGTTGTGAACCACCTAAACAATTAAAAACTGAGAGATATCTGAATTTATAAAGTGGGTTCCTGAGCTACAGTGCGAATAATAGAACTAATACGATAAAAAAAAATAGATAAGCGAAGCCTATCGTAGAATAGTCCCCTCTTATTACAACATTAACACCACAGCATCAAAAACTTCGATTTATTCATCAATAAAGCAATATATAAGAAAAGACGTAGAGAATTCAATCTGCAATAACATACTGAATTATCAATCCATTGAATTATTTCTTTACAATTTGCACAACATCATGATGATGCAAAACGTGATTCAACCCAACATGTTGTGGACTGAATTTAACACTGGTCCCCTTAAAAATATTGAAAAGAAAAAAATAGTTTAACAGGACGATGTACTTCTTCATATAAGCTTTTTTCACGCTAACTTGAGTTTATTTTGCCTATGAATCTGATAGGTTCATTGAAGCATTAAAAGGATACAGTTTGTCACTAGTTGTAATCAATGAATCATCAAGAATAGTAATTCATTAAGCCCTCCTTTAGATCTTAAACTAAATATTTTATCTGTATTTCGCATTTATTTGGATCAGTTTTACTCATTCATTCTTTTAGACCTCATTTTTCTGTTAAAAACTATAGAGGTTTGAAATATAACTCTTTAAAAGAGTTTACGTCATAAAATCTAACTAGAAGAGGTAACATCTTCATATTTTTAGGAATAAGGCATAGCTTAGGCATTGTAAATCTTGGTTATTATAAACAGTTGAGAATATATGAGCGATAAACATTTAGTTTTCATGACAAGTAAAATATGCGAATTTATTTATTCAATATATGGCAAAGCATATATCAGAACTGTGATTACATTCTTACCCACACAAGAGCACATTTGCACTGCGATGCTAAGGATCTGTGAATTGAGTGGCACTAGAAAAGAAATCGAAAGTGTAAAACAACGAGAGAGAGAGAGAGGGGAAATTCGCAAGAGGAGAAACAGAAAAGTGGAATTAATTGCAGTGCGTTAGAAAACTAAGTATCAAAATTATAATTTGAAAGGAACGACTGACATAGAGAAATAAAAATTTCTGTATAATGGCAAGCCCAACAGTCAAAGATGAAGCATTATTGTAACTAGTTTTGTTATGTCGCTAAATATGGATGATGAATCTTAGGAGAACTCTGTATATTTTAACATGACTGAGACCTACTGTCAGTGACTTTACGAACAACCATTAAGTTCCATGAGGGTTTACACTCTCAACAAGTGAATTACCATCTATGACTAACTCTCCGCCTAACTTAACAATAATTACTCTATGACGCAACCACATGACAATTAAGTTTCGAAGGCTTCTATGACTAGAAACTTGAACCTACGCATGTGTTCAAACTTCACATTTTATGTCCTATAGCCATACTCCAACACAGTTCCAACTGCTGACCACCATATGAGCATTTACATATGGAAACATAAAAAATTGGGCGAAATATTTGAGTCTATATATGCATTCTGCAATCCAACAATCCTTCACAGATGAAGAAACCTGCCAGATAAATAAAATAATCAAGATTCATGAGTGGATCTCTGCTATGGTGTTCAATACTCTAATAAACTATTGAAAAGTGATCGAAACATTTAGTCTGATTGTACTGGACGTATATGGCAATTAAGAATTTGTTTTATCTTCGCATATAAGTCAAACCGGGTTGACCGATAATAGTCATGACCAAAACAAAACGCTCGAATATCACACAGTACTACTGAGTCAAAAAAAGCCTTCGAAGCAGGGGAAAATGTCGAACTTACAATGTGTTCCACTGTTGAACCATTTCGTAATATAATTCCTTCATCAAGATCTGGTTTTTCTGATAAATGAAATTAAAGCAAAGTCAAAAACCACTAATTTATTCTTACGTCCACGTTTTTTAGTGAATACTTGAATTAAATTTAAATAGTCCCAAAGTTTTTCTAGCAGATAATCCAAATTCAGCTTCAAGTTGCAACTGTATTTAAAAAAAGCGTAAAAAATGTATTTGATCAGACGCAACAGAAAAACAGTGTACATTGGCATGGACATAAATGTATAAGACTGTTTTATTGTATTTATTAAGATATGATATTTGCTCCTAAAAGCACCGGTACGACCGAGAGTGGGAAGAGTCAGCCTTCCCTCTGGAAACGCTCTCAAATGACCAAAAAAATATAACTACTACCGTGGAAGTGCTACTTACTACCTTCTCGTGTCAGAGGCATTGTTCACAAAATTGAATGGATGGGAAGCAAGTGCCGGGTCAGAGCTTAAACCAGATTAGTGGATATGGAGGATCCACCAAAGAGTTCTGGAAAGCCCTCACTGCAAACAAATAGTTTAAATTGGCTCAAGGATCCTGACGGAACTAATGACAAATGAACCTTCTGTTGGTCACCGGCAACTATGGGACTGCTTTTCCTTACATTTTCCCCCCTCAAGGATTAAACTTTTGAGTCAATGCTCCGGGTGTGGATCCTAAGAAAACCACTTGTTTTGGTTTGGGCGTCCAGAGGATATCCCGATCCACTCACAAGTTCATTGGTTTGTGCGGCGCATAAACATTTAGGTGCTCCTTTGCACCAATGTTTCAATAAAAATTATATATATACGTATATATAGAGAGTATAGGATTATTTAAACTAAACTCATGTAATAAAGTAATAGTCCGTTGATTAATATTATAGTACTCAAGTACTGTCAACATCACAAAAGTTTAATACAGCTTTTCTTCAGGATACTGGAAAACTCAACGAATTCACGATAGCCATCAACAATAGGTTCCAGGCTTTACACGATCTACTCAAAGGAAAGGAAACTACCACGGAGAACAATTAGAAAGGAATTATGGAAGTTCAACACGTGGTGAGGTTCTGGGCCACAAGAAGTACTATCACAAGGAATAGATCTCTGTTGGTACTCTTGATAAAAATGAAGAAAGGAGGAACAAGAAGGCAGCAATCAACATCAGCTGAGAAAGAGCAGGCATGCCAAGGCCCAAGCTGAATACACTGAAGCAAACAAGCAATGGAGAGAAGCATCAGAGCCGACAAACGAAAATATATGGAAGATCTAGCAATGACGGCGGAAAAATCCGCAAGAGAAGGAAACCTGAGACAATTGTACGATAACACAAAGAAGCTCGCTGGAAACTACCGTAAACCAGCCACTGAAAATTAAGAAAAGCAAAGTAATCAGCAACATTGAAGAACAGCGAAAAGCACGTCAAGGAACTCTTGAATCGACCAGCTACACTGAACCCACTCAACATCGAAGTAACATCCACAGATCTCACAATCAATGTAGGCCATCAGACATATCAAGAGCAGCAAAGCAGTGGAACCAGACAACATGCCAGCAGATGTGGCAGCAACTACAAAATTATTCATCCAATATCCTAAGAGAATTATTGGTCAATTCGTATTGGATAATTCCTACTGGTCAATTTTATGGTCGTCCTAGATATCAATGTCACGTACTCCAATGTTGTTTCTTATTGGTTGTCCTGACTATCAGTGTCACTCCAAATGTTGCTTCCTGTTGGTCGTCTTAACTGTTAATGTCACAGACTTCGATGATGTTTCCTATTCGACCAAAATGTATAAACACGCATTATCTGTAACGTTTTATGACCACGACCAAGTCCCGGATCCCTAGTCCGGGATCCTGATTCTCTTCTGGATTCGGACCTCGTACTTTCTGGATGCTTGTAGAATACAGGTTCTACTCCACATTCAAGTCTTCTTAGTTCACTAAATATGGAGGTTGGGATAATCGGATTTGAGTATCATGTCGTGTCGCCGGATCCTCGCTTTCGCTTTCCGACTAGGTAACTCGTAATAGTTTAAACATATCAAGTTGACGTGTTTACGTGCAGGCCTAACACTCTTCAACAATATTTGGGATGAAGAACAAGAACCTCATCAAAATACCAAGCAAACTCTTCAACAGGATGTTATTAAACAGAATGAACGACTTCATAGATGCCCAACTTCGACATCAACAGGCTGGATTTCGTACGGATGGATTGTGTGCCCACCGAATTGCCACATTACCAATCATTCTGGAACAATCATTTGACTGTAACTCACCACTCTACATAACCTTCATTGACTACGAGAAAGCATTTGATAGTGCGGAGAGGAAAACACTATGGTAGCTACGTCGACATTACGGCGTGAATGAGAAGATAGTCAACATCATACGGAATTCTCAGGATGGATTTAAACTGCCGAATCGTATACGCAGGACATCTGACAAACTCGTTCGAGGTGAAAACCGGGGTCAGGCAAGATCGCTTACTCTCACCCTTTCTCCTGCTGATCGACTGGATTATGAAGAGGTCAACATCTGAAGGGAAGTATGGTATATGTTGGACAGACAGGATGCAGCTGCACGATTTGGACGTCACAGATTTTCTGACTCTTCTATCACACACGCGACAACAAATGCGAGAGAAGACGAACAGTGTAGCAGCAGCATCAGCTCTCAACATAGATAAAGGGAAAAGCAATAACACATGATTCACCAACCGAATCACACTTGACGGTGAAGCTTTCGAAGATGCGAAAACCTTCACATATCTGGGCAGCACATCGATTAGCAATTAGGATCTGATGCAGATGTGAAGGCTCGGGTCGAAAAAGCAAGGACTTCATTTCTGCAGTTGAACAACAATTATCAACCAATTAAGTCACAATTTTTAATACAAATGTCATGACAGTTCTACTGTATGGGGTGGAAGCTTGGAGAACTACCAAAACCATCATCCAGAGGATACGAGTATTTATTAACAGTTGTCTGCGTAAAATACTTTGGATTCGTTGGTCAAACATCATCAGCAACAATCTACTGTGAGAGAGAACAAACGAGATTCCAGAGGAAATCAGGAAGAAGCGGTGGAAGTGGATAGGACACATTACAGAAAGCAACCAACTGTGTCACAAAACAAGCCATCACCTTGGAACCCTCAAGGTCAAAGAAGAAAAGGAAGACCAAGAAACACATAACACCGAGAAACAGAGAAAGATATGAGAAGAATGAACAAAAATTGGACAGAACTGGGAAGGGAAGCCCAGGACAGAGTAGGTTGGAGAATACTGGTCGGCAGCCTATGCAACATTGGGGGTAACAGGCGTAAGTAGGTAAAGTCCTGTGAAGAATGCTTAGAGAAAGCAAACCAAATCAAAGGTCTGAAAAGGTGTTATACGAGACGGTTTAGAAAGTATTGCATCAGTAGTGTTAGGACATAAACGGTCTGGATGCGTATTCAATCTGTGAGACGGTGAACTTGTAAAGAGTGAGGTTGCTAGAAGCATACATAGTCAATACACGTGTTGACTTTCGATGAAAGTTGAGAGAGATGAGGTGAATCAGGTTTTTCAAATGACCAAACTAAGTCACAGACAATTTGTATGAGTTAGTTAGGAAACTTTAAGGCCTGGGTTATTATAAGCAACACGATTTTGAACTAAATATATTATACGTATTTAAAAAATTCTAGGTAGTTGAAACAATATGTAGTACATTCACAATTGCCACACTACAATAAAGGATGAAGAGGATTTAATGAGACATTTTTTCCAGAAATAAAGGTGAAGAACAAGTAAACAGTGACTTTCAGGCGAACTCTAACATATAACTAAAACAAATCAAGTCGCCAGATTAACAGATAACAAGGTAGCTGGAAAACTCAGAAAAAAAATAATTGGAAGTAACAACCCATGCATATAAACTAACCTAACAACAACTGAATGAGGTTGTCTGGCTAATCTGTCAACTTCTTGGAGTGATATTTGATCAATTTTATTATACACCTAAATCCAAAAATTTTCATAAAATAAATAAAATCAAAATACATAAAGACAAGCTAGATATACTCGACCACCAACCACTACATCGATAAATTCATCCGGTGTGGAATCTTCTCGAAAGATGACTTCTGCATTAAATATTTCTACATAGTGGACAGAACAAAGAAGTTAAGGTGAACAGAAATTCAAAAATGGCTCATATCAGATATTGATACGAACTGTGAATGTAATACACAACATAATTTGTGTTAATAAATTCGACTGAAGACTCGCTTGAATGATTGGGTAACTCATTTTTTAATAATACGGATATTCAGATAAGCCTTTCTGTTTTGAACTTATTTGAAATGAATAATTATGAACTCAGTCAGTGGCCACGTAATATTATGAGTGACTTACAACCTATCTGAATGAGCAACACCAGACACCTTAAAAAACCTGCAGTTCTCGGTTCATGAAATCAATATTTGTTGGATGAAGAACAACAGCTGCAGCACCCAGGCCGATAGAAAACTTCCTCTATTCAAAATAAGTGGTATAAACTAATTAATAAACAAATAAGAAAAAATTTCTGAATCACATTACAAGTTACATGTAAGAGAGAAATGCATATTCATTTTGCATAAATAACGCTAACCATTTTATGAGATCCACCTTATTGAGATTAGACGATGATGTTTGACACGTACAAACTTTGTGAGTGAACCGAGCAACAACAAGAACATATAAACTAACTGAATAACATTCTTCATCAGTTTATGTTGGCGTGTTTAATGAGACTATCAATTTGCGTTAAAACCAATTTGGTATGAAGCAAAATGCAAACACTCTGCTTCACAGTTAACATAATTGCTAAAGTAATCTTCTGATCTAAAAGTTAGACAGAGAAAAGACGAAGGAACTACACGGCTGTAAAACCACATAAATTAAGAATCTACAGATGATTGATAGGAATCTAACAAGATAAAGTGAGGCTACTGGAATTAGGGAGTAATATACCCTCGAATGATCACAAGTTAGTCAGTTACAACGTAGAACTTCGTACATAAGTTCAAATTCAAACAGCATAGTTGTAGAGATAGCGGTGATGGAGAAGATTGGGGTTCGGAGATATTATTCAAGAAGTGTAATTTAGTGAAATAAGTTTAGAAAAAGCAAGATATAGGTGACGAGGAATTCAGAAGATTTCAATGTGAATCTGTGCCATTGCAAACGGTTTTGAGCCGTCATTTAAGGTCCCTAACTATCAGTAACTATGGTCTCGCGGATCCCAATCAGGCGGTCTACACAAAACAGCATGACTCATTTCACTTGTCAGTGACTTCATGAACTTGTGCCATGTTTTAGTTTGGCAGCCCCCATCTTTCTTCTAACCTACTCCTACACCGCAAAGCATAGCAGTCCGTGGTTGGACACTCGTAACACAAGTTCCAACGACCTCAACTGATGCAGTTTCAATACTTCATCTATTGATCTGCCATCCTGATCTAGTACTCATTTCACAACAACATTGCTTACTCAGTTGTCCCAGGATACCTGTGCAATGCTTCACAGACATTGACGATATTTCTTTCCAGTTTGCCTCCATAACAGCAAACGTCGCATGTCGAGATGGGCGGTAGCCGAACATACATCACATATACGAAGATCGGAAAATAGGTGACTCCCAGGACTGACTTATGGATTATTATATTATTATGGATGTTCCTACTGTATAATAAAGTCAAACCAGACAAGTCAACAACAACAACATAAACCCCCCGACCATAGATGCTACCTTGTCGTGGTGGTCGGGCTTGCCAATCGTGATGACCCAACTGAGCTATATTGGCTCGAACATATGTTTCTGTAGTTTCTACCATGCCAGCCAGGTCGATCGGAGAACGATCAGACTAAAAGTACTTACTCAAGGTCTGGGGGCGAAGTCATACTGCTGACTGTAGAGGGGTGTGACAGCAGTAAAGTGTTCCCCTCGGACAACCAGCATCTGCAGCGATGCTGCCTTCTCACAAGGAAGGAAGGGGTTAGAAAAGGCCGACCCTAAAAATTTCATACATCACCTTACATCACGGACTTCCATCTCTGGCAGTATGGCCACTTGAAGAGTGGAGCCAACACTTTACAATCTTCCCATGAAAAGGTTATGCGTGACCGGCTTCAAGCAGTTGTTTCTTGGGCTCTGTAGTCACACTCTCAGGTCGCTCGGACCACCACTAATACAGCTTCTTTTACAGGTTACTCAATAAACACTATTCCACAGTGTGTGTCAAATAGGAGAACAGGCTTCCTTAGCTTGGATTTTAGAATCTCGCGCCATCGGAGTATGCTGCCTCTCCGAAACGAGCATACAGGATCCGAGTAGCGTCATTCATTTGACCTCACCATGTCAAAATAAAGAACTAACTCGATTTACTCTTCATGTATCTGGAAGTCCTGATGCTGCTTCCTGTGACCTCGCTGATGTAGGTATAGCATTGAGTCCGAGGGCAGAACTAGCTCTCCTAGACTGGATCTCAGTTGATGGTCGCTTATGTGCTGTCCGACTAGACGGGAAAGTAAGGGTTCGGAGAGATAGGAACACTCGCCGTTGCCTCTCCGTCGTACCTGTCTACGTTCCCACTGACTGCAGTTCAGACGAGGTGAAAGATGAGTTTTACACAAACCTTTTAGAACTCCTACAAAATGTTAGGCGATCTGATATAGTAATAATGGCCGGTGACTTCAATGCTCAGGTAGGTAGACCAAGTGAGAAGGAAAGACACCTGGGTGAATCTTACGGTGTCGAGGCTCGGAGAACGGGTGCTCAAGTAGGTAAACTAATTGTATAGACACCTGGGTGGATCTGCCACTAACCCTGGAGCACTTGTTTAGATTCTGATCATGCCCTAGTGAGAGCACGTATTTGTTTGCGACTTACTGGACGTAGGAAAGACACTGCAAGGAAACCTCTCAGGGTTCTACTTAATGATAAAAAAGCTGAGAATATTTTTCAGTAGTAACTAGAATGACAGTTAGGCGGCCATGTAAGTGATGCCCACCATGAGGTAGCTTGGAACGACAGCCGAAAGGCTGTGGAAACAGCAGTGATATATGCTAGCAAGGTAAACCATAAGGTCAGGGAGAAACAGTGGATTTCGTTATCCTCTAGTGAACTGACAGGTACTCGGGAACTCATCCCGCCGGGCTCTTAACATGAAGGAGAAATCTGAAGCGACGGAGAGCAGCAGGGCCTGACAGGCTTACCTCTAAGATTTTTAAGGGTGGTAGTTAAGTTTTAGCAGAAAGATTGACTGAGATCTTAAATGGAATCTGGGGACTAACCATGATCCCATCTGACTGGTCTCAATCACTGTCCCAGCCTAACTAATATAGTACCCGGAATGTTAGCTTAGATTATATTTCGACGCCCAACTAGAGCTCTTGAATAGCAGACCAGATTGGTTTCCGATATGGACTTGACTGCATAGACTATTCACACTTTGACTGGTCCCAGAACACAGACACACATTTAGGCGTCCGACAATAGACGTCTTCCTGGATATTAAAGCGGCATTCGACTCTATCGATCGTGAGGTTCGAATGCAATGTCTGTCGTTAAAAGGTGTACTAGAGACGCACATTAACCCTGTTCAAGCTCTCTACTCGAACACTACAGGTCGAGTTGAAGCTTACGGCGAACTTTCATCGGAATTGATTACTTCAGGTGGTGTCCTTTACAGATGCGCACTCTCCCCATTCTTATCCAATTTTGTCATAGGTATGCTTTTAGAGATAACAGTATCATCGTTTGACTTTTCAAAAGTGGACCTGTTAACAAGAGACTTGCTAGTTGACATAGAAGCAAATGGCATAGTTCTACTTGCTGAAGGCATTAACAAAATGGAGTCTTATGAACACCTTAAGTAACAATGCGAACATGTTCGGAATACGGTTTCCCGTCTCGAAACGCAAACTGTTGCTTCAGGATTGAGTTGCATCGGCATCATCGATTCAGTAGAGGATAACGAAATCCACTGTTTCTCCCTGACCTTATGGTTTACCTTGCTAGCATATATCACTGCTGTTTCCACAGCCTTTCGGCTGTCGTTCCAAGCTACCTCATGGTGGGCATCACTTACATGGCCGCCTAACTGTCATTCTAGTTACTACTGAAAAATATTCTCAGCTTTTTTATCATTAAGTAGAACCCTGAGAGGTTTCCTTGCAGTGTCTTTCCTACGTCCAGTAAGTCGCAAACAAATACGTGCTCTCACTAGGGCATGATCAGAATCTAAACATGTACCCCAGAACGAGAGACAGTCTTCTATCAAACCCCTTCATCTGTAGCTGATGGTGATGTGATCTAGTTGGGTCCAGCGTTGAGACGACTTTGGGGGTTTCCAGGAAAAGAGATGTTTTTTCATATGCTTAGTGTTTGCTAGAAATAGGCGGTTATCTGAGTACAGTTGCAGCAGACGCTCGCCATTAACTGTTTGATCAGCCGTGACACCATAAGATCCACCCAGGTGTCTTTCCTTTGCACTTAGTCTACCTAATTGAGCATTAAAGTCACCAGCCATTATTACTATATCAGAGCACCTAACTTTTTGGAGGAGGTCCGAAAGCTTTTTGTAAAACTCATCTGATCATCAGTTTATTTAAATTCTAGATGAGTGGACCTAATGCTGTTCGAGACACAAACTACTAATCAGGCATGACAGTTTCAATGACAGATTCATATATTATGATAAAATGGATACCATAAGCATCCTAAAATGAAGTGTCACGCTTAGAGTACCCTTATCAATGGGACTTAGTGAACAAAAAATGTTCCAACTTATTTAGGGGTTAAATGACTTACTTTTCATAAAAATGAAGCAGTATTCTTGCAGTTATTAGATTTATTTTATAGACTAAACGGTACCACATTGCGAACGGCGGAAAACATACCGTCGCATAGCTATGGACAATAATTACGCTTGTGGCTCCTTTATTTTAGATATGACAACGATGGAATATACAACTTGTTCCTAACTAAAACTGTTTAACAAACCAAATTTATATTTCAGAAATCATACGGTAAAAATCTTAGAATCAGAAGAATGAAAATAATGATTAAAAAAGGATACTGTATTCCTGTAATATCATTTGAGTCATTTTTTCGTTTATTTTTGTTAAAGGAACCATTGACGTGATTTTTAATCCACCAGTCTTCTTTTGCTAGTTAGTATAGGTAAATGATCGGACAAATATATATCAGTTTGATAAATACATGTGAAAACAGACAAAACGATTAGAGAAAAATGAATCCAAGAGAACATAAACAATCAAATCTAACTTATTTTAGATAACGGATTTACTGAAGATAATTTTGTGTACACATTTTCGGTAGTTGGTGTCTGCCAACTGACTTCACTTGTGACGTGGACGAGATGTGTCTCCCAATCAAAGGGCAAGTATATTGAGCGACAATCTGTTCTGCTCTACTTTAGGGGTATGAAACATGGTCTATAGAAGTAGAAGATACGAATGAACTGGAGTTTTCTGATCGTAGGTGTCTTCGTGGAACAAACGAGTGGGCGATGTGAAAGTTAGGCATAAGGTACGTTGCGCAGGCGGCTAATCGGTTGATAAATTAGTGAATCTCTACCCTAACCCAAAATGAGGAAGCACTGTAGTTGCTACCTTAGCGTGGTAGTGGGTTTACCTACCCTCATAGCCCAATCGAGCTACATTGAGTGACACACTTGCTCCTTTTGGTTTAATCAGGACAGACAGGTCAGTTGGAGAAAGTGTACTTCTGGCTGTACAGGATTATGACAGCAGTAAGATGTGTACCCCAAACAACTAACATCGGCAGAGATGATGTCGAAAGAATAGGGTTAGGAAACGTCTATCTTAAGAATTTCACATATCCATTTGCCACACATAGCTAACGAATGAAAACACTTGCCACAAAAGGCTGCACATTACCGGCCTTAAGCAGCTATTTTTCGGAATACAGGATCACGCTTCCAAGTCACAAAGACCATTTCTATTCTAATTTCTGTTACAGATTGCTCAAAAAGTCCCCTCCCACGGTGCAGGTACCCAGTAAGTGACAGCCGATTGCACACCTTTAGCACCACCCTATATCGACTTGCTCGCCGTCAAATCGCTTCGTGACTTTTTAATATTTCCAGCCACCATGACTAACTCTTGCTATGATCTTGTTATCATGCCTTAGTAATGCTGACGATCCGAGTTCACGAAATTCGATCTTTGATCTCCTGATACCGCAGTTTTAACCCCATGTTGGAACAGGTCGACAGTGTATAACTACCCAACTGGTTGGTGTCCATACAACTGTCGTAACTAATGGGCAGAGACTTAAGGTGGCATGGTACTAGAGATGGAATCTTAGTGTCGTGCAAAGAGGAAAACTAACAGATGTATTCCCGGAGAAAATGGGTGTCAAACAATCCTGACTATTCTCACCTCTTCTCTTTCTCCTGGCTGTCAATCATATTATGAAGATTCCCATATCTCAAGAGAAGCACGGAATGCAGTAGACACTTTGGACGCATCTGGAAAATTTGGAATTCGCGAATGATTCAGGTCTCCCGTCAAATACACAACAACAAATGCTGGTGCCGCAGCAGTAAGCGTCAACATTTATAAGGGAAAAAGTAAGACCCTGAGGTACAGCCCAGTGGACAACAACCAGGCTACATTTGATAGCAAAGCTCCGGAAAGGGTGGGAGCCTACACGAGCCTACGCACCATCGTCAAAAAAATCGGGAGGATCTGACGCGGATATCAAAGAACGAATTAGCACAATAAGGGGAACATTTCTACAATTGAAGAATATTTTTAAATTAAAATGACTGTCATCCAACACCAAAGTCAGAATTTTGAACATTAACGTTAAATGGTTCTGTTGTACGGAGTAGAAAGTTAAAGAACTAACGCAACCATCACTAAAATGATACAGGTATTTGCAAACATCTGTCTAACCAAGATACTTAAGATCCACCAATTAGGAGCCATCAGCAACAATCTACTATAACATTGAAAAAACCAGCTTTCAGCTGAGGGAATTATGATGAGATAGAATCAACGATTTACTGGAAGACATAATTTACTAGCGAAATATGTTCACCTTATCTTCAGACTTCCATTTACGAAATAAGCGGATTATTGGCTGTCTTTTCCTACATGTTTCCAATTCTTTAAAACACTTTGATCGCGCTACAAATCGGGATCCGATCCTTTTCCCTTCAGCAGTACTTCTGGGTAACACTGCGCTGCATATCCGCTGGATACTAGAGTTACGAGCCATGTTATGAGTAGTGCACATAACACTATGAGGAAGCCATCAAACTGTGCTACATAGACGTAACTCAGAATTCCCAAGGCAAAAGGAAATGGAAGAGCATATAACACATGGTGCCTAAATTACAGAAAAACACTAAGGCTGTGAGCAGTGCTGAGCAACAACTGGAAAGGATAACAAGAGACAGTTGCGCGGAGATTTCTAGCTGATGACCTATGTATCATAAGGTATAGCAAGTTTAATCAATTGGTTTTGACTAGTATAGTATTTAATCGGAAGTTCACATTTAAGTTCAACGGTATGGTTGTCTGGCACTCAAACTTTGTAAAACTGTGATTTAATTTGTAACGGCATCTGTTTAGATCATAACGCCAGTACTTTGTGACTCCTACTGTAAATATCAAGTAAACAGACCATGAAACAAGGTCAATTATTAATTAGCGGAAAGAAATCGGAGAAAGATTGTATTAGAATTCTGTTTTGTTTTCCGACGTCCTAACTTAGTATCAAAGGCTTTAACAAGATGCCTTGAGGACTTTTACATGACTGCTACGTTGGATTCAAGTCAGTGACAAATGATATATATATCCGTGGTTGAAATCACAAACTGACCTTGAGCAAACCACTATAAGAAACCTGGAAGAACTGTTGTTCAGTACCATTCTATTGAGAGACTCCTCAGTAGCGCGCATCCACGACCCTCGCACGCAGTAATCGAACCCAGAACCTTCGGTCATGTGTGCAAACGCCTAACCCCTAGACCAATGAGTCGGCATCGAATGTCTAAATTCAATCAATCCAAAATGTCGAGCAAACTTTGCTCATTGCCTGAGATGAATAATCGTCTCATTACGAACCGGACTTCATACTAGGATGGGACGGCCGTCCAGAACTTCAAGGCTCCTACTGGTAGTTTAGCTAAGGTCGGTTTGTGATTTTAACTATGAAAATAATACAATCTCCTCACTGATAGCAAACGAAAAAATTCAGCTGTTTTCGGGGATGAAACATTACTTAACTGAGAAACATGTTAAAAAGTGCTCATAAGGCTGAACCATAGGTTCTTCACTGATATTATCTTTTCCGAGTTATTTCTGAGTAAAATGAATTGTAAAAATTAGTGAATTGGAAACAGCGATTAAATATACAGTTACCTTGAAATAAATATTTGGTTTGGATTTATTCAGACGAATACCCACAGCTTCTAGCTCGTTTTCAAGTAACTTTCTAAAAGTTAAGTTTGAAAATAAACGCTTCCATTGACAAATAATTCGGAATGTGAAGGTTAAATGAACACTTTAGTTATGCGCTATAGTTTTAGAGAAGAATTCTACATGCAAAATCTAAGTGTGAGCATTTTTGTTGTCAGTAAGAGAATGAAAATAATAAGCGAAATTCTGCTCAGAAAAATACACCTAATGCCTTTAGTGTATCTTTAAACACTTAACAATATTTAAAATCCTTCAGTACTTTCATAAAACACGACTGCGTGAGAGCGAACTTAGATTTCAGATAGGGTGTAAAATGTGGTTTAGTTGTAATGATCGTCTCTTAGGTAGGGCTCTGACCCCTGGACAAACAAATAGCATTAACATAGAGCATGGGACAGACGCGCTGGCGCAAGTGGCCATGACTGAGTAGTACGCTAGAGGTAATGTAAGGCCTTTCTGATAAAATGAAATAGATACTGAACATACCAAGTATAAATTGGGATTTACGCTCTATTTGTACCATAAATCTGTTTGAAATGGAGATAACTGAATATAAATGGGCTTGAGCTTCAAAAACATTAGTTAGGTCCAAATAGTTTAGTTTAGTTCCCAGACTTTTACTGCACTGACGAACACACTGTTGATTTGTGATACAAAATACATAAATACTGTGGGAAATTACGCAAATATGTAGTGCCCATTTTAGAAGTCAGTGGCTATTAACGCGGATAGGATACAGAACGATGCATACTTCATCTAAGGGCTTCAAAATGTTGTAAGTCAGAAGTCGCAGCCTTCAGCTGTGACCTGACGAGAAAACCGATCTGTTATAGTTTGCTGTAACCGTATTTTTTTTAATATTTGGCTTTTAAACGTGCTACTGTTAACCTAACTTTTAAAATACTTACCGGTGGACGTCTGGCTTGGTAGCATCAAGCATCATAAGTACGAGATCAGCTGTTCGAGCAACGGCAATCACCTGACGTCCTCGTCCTTTTCCTGAAAAGGGTTCACGCAAAGAATATTTTAAGCAACAACCTTTTACAGATAACGCAAATAACTAACTGTAAAAATATATTATCGGACATACGACATGGAAGGGTTGGTAACTGCTACCCATGTGAACAAGTTAGAAAAATCAAGCAGAAATGTAACTGACCTTGTGATGCTCCTTCTATTATTCCTGGAAGATCCAATAACTGAATGCTAGCGCCTTTATACTTGAAAATCCTGTACTATTAATCAAATGGAATACCTCGATAACGCCCGGTATGCATGTCAAAGTTGTGAACTCATATGATGCGCACTCACTGTGTGTCGAAGTCAAGGCATTTAAAAGTGTTGACTAGAGAAGGGAGTCAGCAATCACATAAAGGAATATCATACTTTCCCAACGGAAGGGAAGCCAATTAAGGATACGCGGGCATCACCTGATTTCATAACATCGAATCCTTCACCCTTACAGAGTAAACTCAGTAAACAGACATACTTTGGTGGCTTTATTTTGTGTCTCCAATAGCTGGGAGCGATACTTCGCGAGCTTAGCTTTCAGCAAACCAAGATGGTACTCCGTCGCTTTTTAAGAACTTTAAATAATACAACACAATGGAAACCTTTATTTTTTTGTGTTCTAGCGATTTCATTCTCAATATCGGCAATCTTATCAAGTATCCCCATAACGTGTGCCTAGTTACCCCGTGATTTTTGGTTCAAACGACCCTGAGGGACAAATGTGACAGCCTCAATATTCGAAAAGCACGACGTGTCCCACCAGACGGGAGGCTATTGTTTGCTCAAGGTCAAGTATGAATTACTGCGCACCTACATAGCTTTTGGGCTCCTGTTACAGAAAGGCTTAGGTGTTTGAATAATAGTTGATCAATAGCGCTCAGAAATATTGAGAAATAGTAAATGGTTTTTGGTCGTTTTATCGAACGCATTTAATTTCATTTGAATCAACCTGATTACGCTTCGGTTAGGGAACATAGGCTAAAGTAAACTGGTTTTTTGTAACCAGTAAAAGCGATCGGTCTTAACCAGTATGTAGTAGATAAAAATTATTTGTTCTAATTAAGTCTCGGTAAAATGAAGACAGCTTATTATTGCAATTACCTATGATCAAATGAAGCGTAATGAAACCCAGGTAGCAGCTTATTTAAATAGAACATTATTAACTGTCCATAGTAACAGGGTTATCTGTGTAAATCAAAGAGTAGGCTTCTGTGTCAATCATGGAAGCGCAGTAGTTCATTTGATGATTGAAGAATGAAAGCGTTTGGCAACAAATCAGAAGTGCATGTTTCCTAGGTGTGGAAAACTATCAGTCTGACTTCTGGCTGTGTTCCTACCCGTTATTTGCTGATCAGTATTTTTACTGGTAATCTCTCACCCATCGCTAAGTAATCGTCCATTTGGTGTAACCTCTAAATTCAGTCCTTCTGGATGCCATTTTAGATCCTCACCTGGAGCATCCACTTCATAGTCATTTAATTTACAACTTGTAATTAAATAGTAAAGTTCATTATCTATTTCTGTGTTTCGTGTTCACAGGCTATAGTGGCGACAAGTACACAAACACTGTTGGCTCTGAGCCATTTATTTAATGGGTAGTGACACAACCGCCGAGTGATCGAAGAATAAATATTTACTGTTACGATGATGTATATAATACTTCTAAAAGTAAAGCTGTCATTGGTATTGGCTCATTATGTATTCTTTACCCTGGATTTATTTGTAATACTTGTGATGGGCTAGTATTTAGTATTTACTGGTTATCATAGTCAATCTCGATTCGGTCACCACTAAAGCCCATGCTGACGCTCACCAGACGTATGTAGTCAAAGGTGCTTGCATTTAGGTTTATTTGAGGGATCATTAAACGTAAAGATCTTGATTACTGTGTTCGTTATATAACTGTGATTAGGCGAATCAAAGTCTGAAATACATTATGGAAAGTTTCTGTTGTGCCTACAGCACTTTTTAAATGCTCATAGTGGGGCAGACAAAGTTATGGAGAGTCAATAGATGAAGTTCATACTAGATGCTAAAACTGGAATGAATTACAACTGGATAGTCATCAAATTAGGGAGTACAGGAGTGAAGAATAGTATGTCATGGTGTGTCAAGAATGGTAATAGAAAAGTTGAAGTGAGAAACTGGGTGTCTGTACATTTGAGCCGCAGGTCCAGCAACAGGAGTAAGGTTTGTGAAAAGCATTGATGACCGTATTAGTTACTGTCAATCTTATTCCATCATATGTCAACCCCTAAGTTATACGGTAATTGCCTAAGTAAGTATGTTGCAGTTTGCCTTGGCAGGATAGTGATCCCAGCAGTGTACTGAAAACATGTGTAGCAAGGGCATGAGATAGACCTCAGTATTACTGACTAGTTGTCTCATCAATCAAAAAGAGCTAGAAGCAAACAAAATGTTCTGCTCCACAAACGTTGGTGTGTTGAAGTCATTGCTCCCATCATCAATGTTTGCAGGTCAGTAACTCCACCATCCCTCTATTTGTGTTGTTTGGCCCATTTAAAATGATTGCAAGATAATATCTTAAGTCCTATTCGAGGCTTTATATTTCACATCCTGCTGGTAATGACTGCTTCTGAAAGTTCCATTTTACGAGCCTGTCAGGCTTCTATAACTGATGATCTGTGTTAAGCATCAATGCACCATTGTGAATTATTAGAAAGTACTGGTTTGCGAACAAGCTCTAAGGCATTAAGGATGTAGTGGCGGAAAATGATTAATAAAGGGTGCGAGAGTGTAAGAATATCATAATTATTATGGATAACGAGAAGCGATTGGTGGTAGGACAATATAGTTCAGATCCAATATCCAATCTGCTTGCGCTCGATTCTTGTTCTTTCGGTAGGGTTCCGAGTGTTTGGTAGTATCCAATGAATGGGGGTCTAGTCACTCGACTGTATAATTCTAGTCAGTTGGCAGTTAAATGTGGGTTTGTATGTCTCGGGATTTAAATGAAAACGTTTGTTTCAGGGCAGTAGGTTTTCGGGATACCAGCAGCTATCACATTACCAGACCGGAGATCAGTTAGCCGCAATGTGAATGTTAATAAGGATAACAAGGATAAAATTCTAATGCTAATATGAATAAAATTTCAGAACTGAGTAATATATAGATGAATTTAGTTTGTTAATTGGTAGTGAAGATTGTGAGAGAGGATCGAAGTGTAAGCAATGGAGAGGAAACAAAGTTAATATTTGAGACAGGTTAAGTAAGTGATCTGAGGAGATGGCAATGGTAACAACTAGCAGGTCTCAAGATATGCATCATGACCAGCTTGTCCAATAGGGATGTGATAATCCGCATGTGAGTACGTGATTATCAAGTCTGTTCTTAAAGCTGTCCACTGAGGGGGCTGTAACTACCTCGGCTGGGAGAGCATTCGAAGTTGCGACGACTCGCAATGAGAGAAAGTGTGCACGAATCTGAGTATTCGCTCTTTGATGTGCAATCTTTCGAGGATTGCCTCGAGTGGAGTGGTGGTGATGCATCGGTAAGATGCTCATATTGGGATGGTTTGGAGTGTTTAATATGGTGTACGCCATAATCAGGTCACCTCTGATCCTCATTTAACTCAGTGCAAGTCTTTTGCCTCATGTGGGGCAGAATATACATAACGTGGCACTTCGGTCGGTTTAGTGTTAAACCGTTTTTCACTGCATATTCCTCAATAGATCTGAGGTACTTTTGAAGCTAAGTCGGATCCTCTTCGCTTCTAATGGACCTTTGGATCTCCGCATCGTCTGCGTAGATCAATGCCGGTGAGCTAACTGAGCAGTAAACTCATGATACGCTATAAGTAACACATAAAACTACGGGCGATGATCACAGAGGAACAGTGAGAGATATTATTGTGTGTTATCATTTTGAATGCTGTTGTACATAATGTACCTTAGGAAAACTATTTCAGTCGAAGCAGAAGAAGATGGGTCAAACGAGGTACTAAACGCTTGCTACAGGCAAAAAGAAAAGCCTGGAAAAAGTGTAAGTTCTCTCAGAAGGATAAAGACCATAGTTTTCGCATGGCACTGAGGGGCAGATGCACTGCCGAAGATAGAATCGTAGGGAGGAGCTTTCAGATGAAGCCGGCAGTCACAATACAGGCAAACCCAAAATATTTCAGTTGACACACTACTAAAAGAAAACCTGCAAAGTGAGGTGTTCATAAAGTCAAATGGTGAATGAACGAATGAGGGAGTAGATGAAAACGAACATCGTCATCCATGGATACAAACACTGACTTAGGAAATTCAGATCATCAGCAAAAAATCTTCTTATGGCATAGGTCAGCTGGGCATCCTGCTCAGACCAAAAACTACCAGTCAATCTCATATTCCTTGACTTTGCGACAGCCTTCGATACACTGCGCCACGTAATCTTAACAGCGAGAATTCGAAAATGGACTTCTATCTTGGCTCAGAAACTACATAAAGAACAGAAAGTTTCGTATCAAAGTATATAGGGTGCATGCAAACTGGATAGTCTCCACATCAGAAGAGTTACAGGGAACCATCTTATGTCCGCTTTTCTCTCATATCTACTAGTAACTTGTTATATAAGGTTAGCTCGGCGACATGCTGATGGTGCAAAGATATAAAGGTCCATTAAAAGAGAAAAGGTTTCAATGGAACTTCGAAAGGACCTTACGACAATAGAGGAACGGTCAGTGGACAAGGGGTTAAAAATTAACTATTCGAAATGTCATGATTTAAACACTTTTCCTCAAGCGACACAAACAACTTACGTCCTCAATGGAAGCATGCTATAAATACTTTCTCAGAGAACATTATTGGTCTAGTAGTTACAGAGAACCTGGATACAATTTCAAATTGCAACCAACTGATCTCTGGTAGGGTAATGTGAAAGCTATTGAAGTCCTGAGACAAACGTACTCAAATCACGGGACAGGGATCCATATAGAACTGCCAACTGACTAGAATTAGTGAGGTCAGATGTTTAGACTAGACATGTCTGGAATCGTACCGATACAGCAAAAGTCGAGCGCAAAGAAATCATTTGGTTTGTATTAGCTCGTGTAAAGGATATCGGATATTGGATAAGCCAGTTTTCGTGATATTTAACTTTCAGATTTACTTATGTCTTCTGCTGGGAAGCGCTAATGATAAGCATCTCAGCATTTCCTAGTTCCTGAAACTATTATAGCCTTACATCGAAATTCAGTACATTCCTCGTGCCAAATATAAGGTTCAGATGCCTGACTAACATACTCAGATATGCCACATCCCACAAACAGTGATGATAATTCTTTACAATTCAGGTTTCTTTCTCCAAAGGTTTATTCTCCCTTTTTGGCCGACTACATTCCGACTTCGTTAAAACCATTTATTCATTGATCCATTCAACAATAAACATATCTACTTTAACAATGAGTCGCAGCACTGACTGTGCCTAATTATATTAAGATTGCACTTATTGCTATTGACTGTTGTTGGCTCTCTTTCCGTTTGCAATAAAACAAGCATATCGAGTAAAGCTGTTTTGTAAGTGATGTACACCTTCACATAATCTGTCCAAAACGTAGTTTTGACTATTGTACAGAAAAACTTTTCACTCACTAAACTATATATTCAGACTGCGATGGTATAGTATAAGGTTTTTGGGGGGCAACCCAAGCCTTTACCTATCAT